AGTGGAAATTTATGTCCTCGCAGAGCTCCTGTGGGGTTAAGGCAGAGGAGGCAGGCATGGGTTAAGGGCTCCGAAATACTGCTGATGCACCTCACTAACAAGTAAACTTGTTATTGCCAAGCTAATCACTTGAATGTGCGCATTCGTATTTCATTATCATCCCTTGCAGTTTTATGTCGAACATTTCCGCAGGATCAAAAGGATGTGACATCCACTTGGACAATCAATTAAAATTAATTTTATTTGTAATTAAATAAATATTAAATTTATTTTTTACAAATAAGAATTGCATATTGTTGATGAACCATTAATGAACAAAAGAATTTTTCATAAATTAAATATTCACTAAAGAACAACACAATAAAAGTGCATTAGCAAAATCATTAAATTAATTTGTAGCATTTAAATTGATTATTATTAATAAAAGACTTTTTCATACATTAAATATTCCATGTAGGAACTCAATAAAAAATGCAAAACTCTTGCATTATTTCTTCATAATATTCCTTCAATTAAAATAGTTTCATATTTCACAATTCACCTGCCAATTCTCATAATTAACCGCATCCTTTAATTAGTTTACTTTATTAGTTCAATCTCATTTAAAATCTCCTCGGCATTATATGTAACTCAAATATTTACATTTCCTCCAGGCAACATTTTTTCCACGTCCCGTTTTATTTTCGCAAATTAATATTGTAAACATGTAGTGCCCCTGGAGAAAAAAATAGAAGAGATAGAAGAAACAAACCAAACCAGAGGGAAAAAATTGTTGTTGACGGCAAGAATTTTCCACATTCATACACTGAACCGGCGAAGCATCAAAACAATTTGAAAAACTCGCACAAACAAGCGCGTGTGACAGGCAAAAATGGAAATGCAATAAAATGAATGGCGAAAAAATGTTGAAATTAACTCAAAATATAAGCAAACCATAAATTATATGTGGCATGACATGTGAAATTACTTAATTAAATTAATTTTTGCACTTCACACTGATGCACACACACATATATGTATGTGGGGAAAAGGAAAAGGGGTAAGGGGATGGATGGGGATTCTGTCAGAGTTATATTCACAAAATTCCCTTAATTTATGCCATGTCAAAAGGCCGAGAGCCAAGCCAATTAGTGCGGGGAAATGTCACAGTCGGTTTCAAAAAGGCATGCCATATAAATGGATTCATGAATGCTGTATTACCATTTATAATGGTCAAAGAACCTGAACAATTCCATTTAACTAATTTTATTTTTTGTATTAAAACTTTGTTGAAAATAAATGTATTACCTCTTTTTTTGTAAAAATCTAATATTTTATATTATTACTACCAAAATTTATTCAAGACAATTTTAATAAAATTAGGAACAAGTTAGTGTTAAAAATTAAATATGACATTGTTTTTTTATATAATTTATTTATTTTGAATTTAAAAATACACTTATTTATGGTTCACTTCATTAATAAAAATAAAATTCTTTTTTTTTGTTTAATCGCAAAAATAATTTAAAATTAAAAATTAAATTACACTTATGTTAATTACCTTTTTTCTTTCAACAAACATACAAATATTGATTGCCAACTTATTTAAGTTTTTGCCTTTCTTGCAGTTTATAAAACTAAATTAGTTTGTCCAGCTTGATTGCAATTAAACTGTGATTGTTTGACCAATTAAAAACCAAATACTTTCAAAGGAAAAACTATGGAAAAATACTGCAAAATGCCATATTTATTTCTTCTTCTCTGACTGATGTGCTTCGTCAGTCGTGTCATAGTTCATCAAGTGGCTTCACATTTTGTCTCCGTTGCTTAGCCATATAATTCACTTTGGTTTTGTGCCTCCATTCTTTCTCTCTCAACCCAATGCCATTTATAATTCTTTTTTATTTACAATATTCTAGCTGGCTACGAAAAAAAAGCAATACAACACAAAACAAAACAAAGCAGAGAATAGGAAAAACAATCTTTTCATAAAATCACGCAAACGCCGCGCTGAATAAGCTGGCAAACCTAAACAACAATGCAATTTTTACTGTTTGTCGCCTACTCACACACACAGTGTGCACCCTCGTGCAGCCGTCTCTTTCGCTCGCACTCAGCCCGTCTCTTTCGCCCACACTCGCAAGCACATGCATGTCACAATGCGGTAGACAAGAGCGGCAGCAAAACATTATATCAAAATGATAAAGTTGCATACTTGAGTAGAGTTATGCGAGTCCTGTGGGGGAAAAATGGGGTGGTGTGGTGTGGGGTGGGGTGGAAACTCAGGGAAAGCGGCAAATAAATATGAAAACATTTTTTCTCATTGCGGTCTGCCATTCTAGTTGCAGTTGTTGTGTCAGTATGACGATGGCAACGAGCGTGCAAAATAATATGCCAGCAACAATGCGCAGCTGAATCGCAAGCTCAGCCAGGAAAAGCGGAGGAAAACAGCAGAAATAATAATGAAAGAACCCCTGAACCAGAATCACAATCGTCCTGAAAAGCAACACCAGCAACAACTTCACTTGTTTTAGCCATGTTAAGGCAGCATTCGCATGTAAAACTCATACTACAACCCTGAAATTTCCCGCAATGAAATGCTGCTCCCTCGCTTTTCCTTTCCCTCTGAATTTTCTGAAAAGAAACGTAAAAATAATTAGAGTAGTTGAATTTCATATATAACTTTGTTAATGATATAAACATAAGGCTAATGGCTGATGAGGTCGGAAGTTCAACCCCCACGCATTCCCCTTATCCGAATGTCGGGCATTTAATACTTGATAGACCAAAACATCCAAAAGGAGCAATGGTGCAGAAAATTGTTGGGGAATTAAGAAATACTCGGGGAAATTTCTAAAATGCAGCTGCACACGAAATTTGATACGAATTCTGGTGAAAGTTTTGCTTTCTCGAAGCTGCTGAATTTGCTTTCGGGGAAAATTACTTGTGTGGATCGTTAATTTCGGCAGTCTGGGAAAATTCTGAAAAATTACTTAGCGATTGGAAAAAGTAGAAAGACTTGAAGGACAAGATAACTTTAAAATGTTTACATTTTTCTAGCATAAACTTCAGTTTGAATTAGATTTTAGAACAAATCATAAAGCGTAGAAAATAATTAATTCCTGGTACCTCTCATCAAAGGAATTCTATTTTCAGGACTTTTCAGACTTCTTTGCCTCATCTGATGTTGCAAACTTTTTTTTCATTTGCATTCATCTAACATTTCATTCGCTCGCCCCAAAACAATGGAGACCATTTCTAATGTATTCCAATCATTTCCTTTTTTTTTGTTTCGTTTTCGTGCTTTGCTGGAAATATTTTGTCTCCCGTAGGATTTTTTGCCATTTTGGTTAACATTGTTTTGGTGACAGTTGCACCCGCATCTCATTCGGTCTGGGAACCCCCCTTCTGCCCCTTTTCCCGCTACGCCCCTGGTGACACACGGCAACATTTTGCCTTCTGTGCTGTGTCAGTAATTGTTGTTGCTGCCATTTGTTGCTGTTGTCGAGTTGTCATAGTTCTTGTTGTTCCTATTGTTGTCATAACTGTTTTTGTTTACGCTGCATATTTTTTTCGGAGCTCGGAGGGTGCAGGTCTCTCTCCCACTGTTATTGTTGCTGCAACATAAATTTAAACGTGACATTTAGACACTCGACTGGGGTCCTTCGTCCTTCGTCCTGCTGCTGCTCCTTCTCCATTTCAGCGCTTCTCTCAAGTGCCACGCACTGAAATGACTCGAAGAGTTGAATGCTTTTCCCAGGGGCAGGGTTTTTCGAGGAGGGTTTCGAGGGGGTTTTGCGGTGAGCGTACTTCATTCTTAACCTCTTCAACTTGCGAACAAAAGTCAGTCGGCCTCAACCGCACAACCTCACACACATTTGTCGTCCAATGACATATGATGGATAGTTCAGCAAAAGGGGGTTCTTCAAATAAAGAAATTTTTGTATGCACAATAATGGTGATGGATGGGGGGCTCTTACAAAACACGCATGAAGTTTAGGGATATTTTAGTTTATCATGGAGAAGTGATTTCACTTTGTATCAGTACTTACCTTATTTAATATTAAAATCTGGTTTTATGAGCTTGCTTTATGAAAATCTAAAATATTCTCAATATTTTCATTTAGCTTAAAAATAACAAAAGGCAGCTGATACAAAAATATAATTTATTATTATTATTTTGACACCCCTACAATTATTTTAGATATTTTTTATTGAAGATAAAGAAATTCTTTATTTATGCTTACCATAAACATATACTTCCTGTTATAAGATTTAGTTTCTTGCTAAACTAAATCCCGCACTCACTATCTCTTCGCTTACGGCTTAAGTTATTTTTCCTTAGACAAAACTTATGTATATGGCAGCTTCCATGCACAGAGTCTTATCACTTCTTTTGCCCAGCATAAAAGACAGAAATTCTTTAACCCCGGAGAGAGAGCCGAAAATCTTTAGAATGCTTTTTGACAGACTCGAGGAACTTACTTAGACGACCTTCAAGTTGCGGCGGTGCGAGATGATGACTTGGAAACTCTTTCGGCATCGCACACACATCGCAGACTCGTCTCTTCGTTGCGGCAACGGTGCGTATGATAAACCGCCGGGCGAAACCCAACGTTGCGCATACGTCACCGTGTACAAAAGGGATGTAGAGGGAAAATCCAAGCAAGGAATAAGGGGGAGGGCGGGATGACTTCACATCGAGTGCAAGTTGCGTGTCCTTATCGCTTGGCCCCCCAACTTTAAAGCGCTCTCAAGTGCACTTAACTACAATAACACCGCAGAGCAGAGGCGGCAACGGCGGCAACAGCAGTAAACAAGCTTCACATGTGGCATTTTATTAAAGTTGATGCAACTTAAAATGCATTTAAGCCAGATCCCGAGCTCACAGCTCAAAGAACGTGGCCAACTTTTGCAATTGTGGGACTATCAAACAAAACTTTTGCCAAAGCGCACAAAGCGACGGGCAACTGAGAAGGGGGCGGGGTTTTTGAGCTGGGAGCAACAACCAAAGTGTCATCATGACCAACATCCAGCAGGAGCAGCAGCAACAACAGGAGCAGCAGCAACAACTACTGCACATGAGTTATTGCATTGTCGCCGGCGTCGTCATGGTTGCTCTTCTTCTTCTACCCCAAAAGTCCCCTCAGTAGCCCCGCCCCCTTTTTGACACCCCCTGCACTTCTAACCTTTGCTGTTGCTGTTGTAGTTGCTGCCGTTTTAGTTTGTGTTGCTGCTGTTGCTGCTGTTGTTCCTGTAGTTGCTGGTGTTGCTGTTGCTCCTATTGTTGCTGTTGGTGGTGTTGCTATTGCTGATGTTGCTGCTGCTGTTGCTGTTGTTCCTGTTGTTGCTGCTGCTCGTTCCCCTTTGCCGCTGCTGTGGTGGCCAGCGGTTCCTGGTGTTGTTGGGCTTTCGTCGCGACAGAAGGATTTAGTGAAGCTTAGCGCAAAGCAAGGAACCAAAAAAAAAGGATTCGGGCCACTGCAACAACAACTACAACAGCAGTAAGGATGCAGGAAGGAAATCAAAGGAACAACTCGAATAATTGAGCACCCAGAGAACTTAGAATTAAGTAAAATTATTTTGTTCTTAGCTTGTTTGTTTTTACTTTTAAATAATTTTCTATTTGATTAATTAACTAATTTTCTATGACCATACTTTCTCAATTTTCGACTTAATAGTACATTTATTTAATAAAGTTATGAGTCATAAATTATCACATAATTTATAAATAAAATTTTCAAAGATGTTTATTTAAATTTAATGTAAAAATTCCCTCTTCTTCTCTAGGTTGTCATTAATCATAACTTTTTAAAAAATATATGAAAAAAGTATTTCTTATTTTATTGCATTTTTCTAAATTTTGATTCCTTGTATTGTTGTTACAATGGAGTTCGGGAGTGTCTTAAGTTCGTATTAAATATTTTTGATAAGAAAAGATAATCAATTTCCAACCTCAAATTCCCCCTTTTTGACAGGGTAGCAAAACGAGGGGCTGGGCGAAATGCAAATGTTGGAGTTCGTGCGCTCTTGGCTTAGCCTTCAAAAAGTGCGGACACACATTGACTCTCGTCGTCGTCTCGTGTTAAATCTCCTTGCGGTCTAGATTCAGATAGCACCCACCCACCAAACTATCCTGGAATCCCACCATCCCGCCAGCCCTATCCTGCAGATACTTTTGTCCCGCGCTATTTGTTTGCACTTCAAAAGGATTTTAATCAAAGTTTTTCAAGTGGCACAATGATGCACTCTATTGCTATTCCCATCTCCGAAAAGTTGCTGGTTTTCTTTTGGCGAGAAAAAAACAGAGAGACAGACTAAGATTTATCTGTCGTTATTCACAGTGATTTAATTATCATTTCTTTTAGTGGGTTTTTGTTTTTCTACATACAATTTATGATTGCTTTTTGAGTTTGAGCTGCAGCACTTAAAGCTACGGTTAAACTTGCTTCTGCTTTTGCTTAGAGATAGATAGAAAATAGTGCTGGCTAATTCCAATTACTCGCTGGTTGGTGGTGGCGCAGCAAACTTTTCATTTCATTTAATCAGCGGCTGCGAACAGCGAACCGCAGCCGCAGCGGAAAACTTTTCATGTTTGGGAACACTTGCCACTGCACTTTGCTCTGCGGTTGACACTCTGTCCCCCGTTTTCGGGATAAGGATGGGGATATGGGGCTATAGGGATCTCCACATCCCATCCATTTCCCATGTCCTGTGCCCACTTGTAGCCACTTAACAAATTTTGCGCTGCGCCGTTTTTCGAAGCTCTTCCCCAAAGGGGCAACAGAAAAGGGGAAAAAAAAGAAAAACAAATTTTAACGCCTCCCTTGATTGACTGCCAACTCGGAACTGTCCTCTGGAAATCCTCCACTACTGAACTGGTCCACTGGCGAGCAGAGAGCGTGTCCCTGACACGAGGTGAGTGCTTAGGCTGGAGGACATTAGTTCTGGTCCTGGCCATCCGTTTCTGGTTGCTGGTTTCTGGTCGGAGTATCATGACCAGACAAGTGTCTCGTTGTCATTGGGGCTGTGACTTGACGATGATGCTGATGGAGTTTGCTCTCAACGATGACAGTAGAAAAAGGGCACCGGGAAAGGAGCACTAGCTGAAATCGGTATGAGAACCCTTGATTTCAGAAAGTTATGGCTATGCTTAAAGTATATCTAAAAGGCATAACCAATGTAAGCAATTTATTAAAGAAAATATATATATTTATGTATTTATATTTAAGATTTTATGAATACCTCAAAAATTAATTTGGAGGTGAAATCGCTGGATTTTTAAAACACTTTTTGACCGAAATAGGTGTCTAAAGTATCTAACAATATTTTTTAAACTTAAAAGAGCGATGCATCGCGATGATTTGTTTAGGAAGCCGACTTTTCCTTTTTCACTGTATACTTTTAAAAACTTGTTTTGTATTTTTAAAGAGATTGTGATTTGGTTATTAGAGAATAATCTATACCATCTCTGGATATTGATTGTTTCTGAAGGTTTTGTTATATTTTAAATATCTTTCTAAAATATCCATCAACCTTTTAGCTATTTTATTGACTTGAATTTATTTATTCAGCAAAGTTTTCTGAATTTTTACTTTGTCATTTTTAGAACAGCCTTTTTCATTGATGCATTTGGTTGATTCCAAAATACAAAAATCAGCAATCATATTTGTGTAATACTTTCGCTTCATTCGCTTCGGTTACTGTTTTTCAGGGTCACAAAAAACCTGTTAAATAATTGGCTTTTAGCATTTTAAGCGTTTATCCAGCCATAAAGAACCGGGACCTGCTGCCCTCGAAACACTCAACTCAACCCAACTCGATTCCCATTTCCCATTTGCTCTTGTGTCCATTAAAAGGCAATTTATGCGAATGCCTGAAAGTATGTTAAGTTTTTTATAAGCGGAAACAGATATCAACGGATATTTACCGGATATGGCTAATTGTTGTTGTAATACCCTAGCTGAAGTGTTTATTATATTGTGTTTGCATTAAATAAATGAGTTAGAATTGAAAACACTCAATAAAATCGATTGGAAGTACAGTTTTATTAGTTTTATGGCACAATGAATATTAAATCATTAACAAATCATTTAAATGTATACATTTACTTTCAAGAAGGGTATTTAATCCTCTTTTTTTTTCTTGTTGCTGTAGTTGATTTTTGATTAATCTAAAGCCAGCAAAACATTGATAAATATTTGCCAAATGCAAATTCGGCGCAGATGGGACAAAAAAGACCAACTAACAGTGAGGGAGAAATGATTTCGTTGCTGTTTGCTGATGATTGGCTTTTTTGTATTTGCCAAATTTTGGTTTGCATTTAGCACTTTAACTCCACTCTCTCTGTCTCTTTCGCACTGCTATCTACCTCTTTCTTTCGCTCGGTATCGCAAGAGAGGTCCCGGCGTAAACGTAATTAAAATAGTTCGACTATACGAATCAATAAACAAATTGATTATGCAAATTTACTGTTTATTTGCATTCGACTTGCCATTGTAATTGTCTGTGTGTGTGTTTTCGTTTGCTTTTAAATGTGTGTGTGTGTGTGTGTTATCTGTGTGCATGTGTTGGACATTAATAGGTTTTGTTGTTGGCCCTCTTCGACCGGCTTTATTTTAGCCAAAATTTATATACATTTAATGCTCAATCGGAGCGGAAATAAAAAGTTTACACAAAAAATAGGTATTGTTTGTTGGTTGTTTGTTGCAAAAATCAACGGGAAAAGCGGAAACGGAAAGCGCATGTTTTCCATTACGGTTGCTAAGTGGGTTGAGGTTTTCACGGGGCGTTTTCGAAGGGCATCGAAAATTTTTGTAATTGACTTATTTTTACTGTAATTTATAAAGCGACGCTGCAACTGCAACTGCCATAATAAAGTGTTTTCCCATGTAGCCCCCAATTTTCTCCCCATACTTTCATATCATTTCCCCTCCTTTTTTCCATCTCTGTCTGACTGCACAAATGCATTTTTAATTAAACACGAAAAAACAAACAAAATGCACACATAACAATACGACAAAGTAAACAAATTAAAATCAAATTAGTGTTGAACTACACTTTTTTGTTCCACACTCAGCTAAAAATACCTTGGTGGTGGGGAAAAATGGATTAAAAAATGCCAACATGCGAGGATTTTTAAACCATACGCATTCCGAATTATTTAAAATAATTCCAGATTAATGAAATTATGAATTTAAAAAGTATTTTCAATGTCCCTATTATTCAAATTAATATAATTATAAATATAAAAAATATTTGCAATGTCCTTATTTTAAGATTATTTATTTCTTTCAATGATCCCTTTATCATTTAAGCACTTTAAATTTATTCTGCCATGAAGGATATATTTTAAAATAATTGAACTACATAAGAACATGCCTTGAATTTGATTTAATTTAAGAACAAAAATTAAATTTATACTTCAATTTTAAACTTAACAATAAATTTAATGATTTTTTAAGATTTTTAGTTCGTATTTCCATTTATTTAAGATTCTTATTTCTACTTCCCTCAAAAAAGTAGCAATTCCTTGTAAAAATTTTGGCTTCCTTCCCTTTTTCGGTACCACAAATACTTATCGCATCAGGTTACCATCATTATATACAAGCCCCCCTTCCAAATTTTCAGTACCTCCATCCGCCCATTAGGTCTCCGCTCCTCGAGTGACTTCGAAATTCGCTTAAATTGCCTGGGGAAAGTCATGAAGACAGACGCAGACAGGTGGTGAAAAAGGGGGCTGAGCAGGTGGAAAATCAGGGGAATGGAGCACCTTGATGCCTCCCCTGACAGTTTCACAATGGCAAATTGTTGCATCCGCTTTTCTTTTAGCTTTTTAAATGCAATTTCTACACACACACACGTGTGTGCCTTTCCCATTTACATGCTACGATTGCTGCCGTTGCTGTTGCTCCTTGAATCTCATCCTGTTTCCGGGCGATGTTGCTGTTGTTCATGTTGCTGTTGCTGGTAGTGGTGTTGCTGCTTGCCTGCTTCCTGCAACATCCCACTGCCTAGGCAGCAACAGCTTACGTTGTTTGCTTTCACTTGGCATCTTACTCCTCCTCCTGTCCCACCGCAAATTGCCTTTAATTCATTTTCCGCAATTACTCCA